CGCCCGGCCTTGAAGACTCCTTTTTAATGAGATCTTTTTGATTCTTCTATAGCTTCCATGAATGGTTATCAAATCTGCTTTGCAGCAAATATGGTTACAGCAAGATTCCAGTTTATTTCCAAGGTAACAAAATTGAATTTGATGTCTTAGGAAGACTGATTGGAACAAATGTATCAGAGAGAGAAGGAAGAATGGGCTAACAGAGGAGTTTGGGAGGCCCCAGGTGCTCTCTGAGCTTCTGGGCCATGCAAAGGGTGTTGTGTTTCAGGATACCGCAGGGTTGGACCTGAAGCTGCCCTCCAACCCATGCCCCACACTGCAACCTGGGTGCTCCTTCCAAGATACACACTGGACCATATCACTTCTCTGCTTGAAACCTTCAAAAGCAGGTTTTGTCCTCAGGATGAAGGCCAATCAGCTTACAAGGTTTATAAGCCCTTTCTGCCTGGCCCTGGATGATCTCTCCTGCTTCATTCAGTCATTCAACAAATATTTATTGGGTGCCTTTTCTATGCCAGGCAGAGCAGACAGGGCAGTGCCCAAAGGGACGAAAGTCTCCATCCTCATGAAGAGTACACATCCATTCCACTGAAAGGGAAGACAGAATCAACAAGGAACTGGAACGTAAGTACCTGTGAAGGTGGATTGTGTTAGGGAGAAAAAGAAAACACAAAGTGGGCTAAGGGAATAGCTGGGGATGGAAGTGGAGGCTGCAGTTTTAAGTAGGGAGTCAAGGAAGGTCCCATGAAAAAGCAATGACTGAGCAAAGCTCTGAAGATGGTGAGGGAGGATTCTAGGGCCTATCTGCATGAAGTGTTTACTTCATGATGGGAATAGCAGTGCAGAGGGCCACATGGACACCAGCCCTTGAGCTCCCGGAGCAAGGCCTTTGCATATATCCTTCCCTCTCCCCTTTTTGACTCTTTTTCATCCTTAAGGTCTGGCTTCCCTGTGCCCATGACCTCCCAGAGCATGAGCACCTTCCACCATTGCCCACAATAATTGCTCAGGCTTGTGCAGCCATCTCTCCTCCCCCTCTAGACTGGAAGCCGTCTGAAGGCAGGAACCATGGCTGTTCCATTCCCATTGTCCCAGCAGTTTCTGACTCAGGGTCTGGAAATGAACACACACTTGATACATATTTGCTGAACAAAAGAGTAAGTAACAGGTTATGGCCCATTTCAGTGCAAAGTCAGGTGCTTGGGTAGTTTTTCATTTATCCATTAAACTGATATTTATCAAATGCCTACTATATGTCAGCACACATAAGAAAGATGATGCTTTTAGGTAGTGACTAGTCTGTGAAGACAATGCAATGGTGCTAGGAGGGAGGGCAATGAGAAGCGGGTGACCACTTGCTTTGGGTGATCAGGGGAGGCCTTTCTGAGGAGGTGACATTTGAGCAGAGCCCTGGATGACAAGCTGGAGCCAGCCCTGGATGGATCTATATTTAGCAATCAGGGTAGCTGATATCTCTGTGGTCTGATTATTTATTTATTTATTATTATTATTTTTAGACAGATTCTTGCCTTGTCGCCAAGGCTGGAGTGCAGTGGTGGGATCTCAGCTCACTGTAACTTCTGCCTCCTGGGTTCAAGTGATTCTCCTGCCTCAGTCTCCTGAGTAGCTTGGGATTATAGGTGTGTGCCACCATGCCCGGCTAATTTTTGTATTTTTAGTAGAGATGGAGTTTTGCCATGTTGGCCAGGGTGGTCTTGAACTCCTGACCTCAGATGATCCACCGACCTTGGCCTCTCAAAGTCCTGGGATTTATAGGCGTGAGCCACTGTGCCTGGCCTGTAGTCTGATTACTTAGAGGTAAGCAGGGGATCTTTGAAAAGGAAAGCGGAATTCCTGATAGGCCTGTCTGTCCTAGCCTTCTGGGCTCCATCCCTGGCTCTGTGAGGTACCCCTCTGTTTTCTGAGAGGTAGAGCAATCACAACCGACACGTGCAGCTCTTGGGTATGCTGAGAGCAAAGGCAAGAATAAATAGTGATCAGGAGTCAAGGTCTCTAAAGGTATAGGAGGAAGAAGAAAACACAAGGTTAAATGGAAGGGAAGGAAAGCGGCAGAACGGAAGAAAGCAGAGATGCCTGAAGGTTTTTGTTTCTTTTCTGTGAACACTTTGGTGGAGATGATTAAAAAACTAATGGAATGACCGGATGTGGTGGCTTATGCCTATAATCCCAGCATTCTGGGAGGCGGAGGTGGGTAGATCGCTTGAGGCCAGCAGTTTAAGACCAGCCTGGTCAACACAGCAAAACCCATTTCTACTAAAAATACAAAAATTAGCCAGGCATGGTGGTGCACACCTGTGGTCACAGCTACTTGGGAGTATGAGGTATGAGAATTGCTTGAACCTGGGAGGTGGAGGTTGCAGTGAGCCGAGATCGTGTCACTGTACTCCAGCCTGGGCACAGAGTGAGACTGTCTTAAAAAAAAAAAAAAAACACCAAAAAAACAACAAAACAAAACAAAACAAACAAACAAACAAACAAAAAACTGTTGGAATGGTGAAATGTTTAGCAGAAAAACAGAACCCATCCCTTCACCTATATTGTACTGTAAATACTTTAATATTTTTATGTTCTGCTAAAAACACCTGGAAGCCTTTCTCTTCAGTAAATGAGGCAATAAAGATTAACGAGTTAATTTGGTAAAGCTGATTTGAATTGCACAGAAGGCATTGCATAAGTACTTGGCATTTAAAAAGTTATCTGACATTTAAAAGGAGATGGCTGTTAATGAATTCAAGAGCTAATCTTACACTCTGACAGAGTGAGCCATGGAAAATCCAGGATTATTATCTTGCTGTAAACACAATGTGATTCAGTTGAGCTATCAAAAAAAAAAAAAAAAAGCTGTCGGTTGTGTACAAATATCTAGACTCACACACATATATAATATAGCAAAACTTAAAGAGAACATCCAGGAAAATTACAGACACGTCTTACTATTTCCTTCCTTACTCTTGGATTATAATATCTGAGCCACAGATCCAAGGAGAAACCCTTCTTCCCAGTGATTTTTCCTCTTCCTTTCAGCTGGTGTATTTTAAAGGGTTACTACCCTTTAAAATGGGTTGGCTCTCCAAACAGACCTTGGAACATCTAACATTAAGAAGGAGACAAAATTCTAAACCCAAGTGGCTGCATCTCCAGTCCTGGGTCCCACAGAGCCACCAGAGATAAGGATCTGTCCTGTGGGTGTCCCTCAGGCCGTCCTCATTACCTCTCCCACTTCTTTCTAATTGGGGTTCCCCATCTTTGTAGCTGCGGCTTAATGGCTCCAAGAAGAGCGACTGTCCCTCATTAAGGAGGCTGCAACACTCTCGCTGTCTAACTGCCTCCCACGCAGCTCACAACTTCATTCTGGCGGAGAGCAAGCTGCCAAGAGGCTCCGGGAACCTGTGGGCAAGCTGAGCTGGAGGAAGAAACAGAAGGGAGGAGGGCCTTTGTAACCAAGATCTGAAATGTGCTGGGGAACACACCCTGCCATTATCTTCATGCTTGAAGAGCGGGTGGGGGGACTGAAACCCTTAGGTGGTCTCTCGAGTGGCCACATCAAACCTCTGTGCACACAGGGCCTTTGTCCCCTCCTGTGAGTAAACACAAAGAAGAGTCAGTCCCTCCTCTGACCCCCGGGCTCCCCTTCTTGGCTAATAGTCTGACTCCTCTTGGTGGCTCTGAGTTCTGGGGGCACAGAGAGAGCTGAGAGATTTAGTTCCTGGGGGTAGGGGGGAAGGAGGCTGGGACCCTGAGCTTCCCTGTCCTCCCTCCCCCTGCTAGGGTAGGGGAACCAAATCCTGGAAAGGGCCCTTCTGCAGGAGCAAGGGAGCTGGCAACTTTCCTCGTGTTTGGCCTTCCGGCCCTGTTGTTCCTTGCCCACGGCAGCCTACGGACCTAAAATCGAGCAGCAGGGATGGGGCCATTGGTGGGGCTGAGTGTGCCTGGGACTCCCTGGGCTCCCTGAGATGGGGCTGCCTAGAGAGGAGATCCCGGTGGGCCGGGCATTGTACACACTGTTAATCCCAGGCTGACTCGGAGGACACCCTCCGTGTGGCAAGGCCAACCTCCCCGGCTACCCCCAAGGTCCTCACTCTGAGGTTCTGTCTTTGTCTAGGTTTCCCTGGCTGGAAGGCAGGAGGCCTCCAGTGTGCA